AAAAAATTGAGGAATAGAATTTGTTCATATTGGCTACATTGAAAGAACTTGAATTGGCAACACTGAATGTTATTCTGTTTGTTTAAACTCTGTAATGCTCATGTCAGTTCATTAATGATTGTGTTGAGTGATAGTCTGCATGAAATAATCCAAAAAAAGATAGGAGACTTGTCCAATTCTGGAAGAGGACAGATCGCTGTTGCACATTCAGCTGGACCATCTATGTAAAAGACTGCCATGTTATTAGGTGTGTTGAGAGTGACAGTTTCTAAGGTTATGTCGGCATACAGAATGCATCATGGGAGAACAACATCAGCGAAGAGGAACAGTGGGCAAAAATCAACATTGACAGAAAGAGAATGTCATACATTGAGAAGGGATGTTTTAAAATATCACATAAATACTGCAGCACAGGTGACAGCAGAACTGAATATTCATCTTGAAGACCCTGTTTCTACAAAATCTGCCCAATGTGAGTTTCACAAATCCAACATCCACAGTAGGCGTGCAATTGCTAAACCTGTGATTACTTAAAGTAATGCTCAGATGCATAAACAGTGGTGTAATGAACATAAAACCTGGATGTCAGACAACTGGAAATAGTTCCACTTGAGAAAGATGCCATGAGAAAGAGAAACAGCATCGTATTGCTTGTGTAACTGTCAGGTTTTAGTTGATATTAAATTTCTTCACTTGAGACTCCATTTATTCTAGCCAAGTGACATTAAAAATGCTATATTTGACAAAGCCATAGCTCAAGCGGTTAGTCGCTGGCTTCCCACCACAGTGACCCGGGTTCGATCCTGGGTCTGGTCAAGTGGGATTTGTCGTGGACAAATTGGCACTGGGGCAGGTTTTCTCCAAGAACTTCAGTTTCCCCTGCCAATCTTCATTCAACCAATTGCTCCACAATCACCCTCACCTATCATCTGGGGGCTGGTACAGTAGGCCTGGAGTGGCCACAGTACAAAAGACTTAGTCCCACCCCACTAGCAATAAAAAAAGAAGTACTGCATTTAATTTGAAGCACAGGACTGCTGCAGGATCAAATTTAGAAAGGGAATGCACAATATATCACAGCTGGTTGTAGCCCAAGGGCTAATATTTCCCAGCCCTTTAGTCGAATCAAATCTAATGTGATCTGAGGTCTCGTGAGATTAGGTGGAATTACAATACATATTGAATTCGGAGACATGTAGAAGCAGCTGTGACTTATTGAAATTACCTTTCCCTGTATTTTCATGGAGGGACCAAACAGAATAAAGAAATGCATAAGTCAGGATAGCTGGTTTCTGTCTGGGATTGACCCATGTACTTCAAATACAATTTAGTCATGCCTCTGCTGTGCCAACCTGCTTTGTAACTGAATGTTGACACACATTTTTCTTAATGTTCATGTTTCCTTCATTCATGAAGGATGTCAATTGTATATACAGGGTGGGGCGCAGAAACTTCCTTTTTTTGAAGGCAAATAAAAGAAAAATTATTGCTGATAGACAAAATTTATGTTTGGCAATGAAAGAACATACTTTAAAGTTTTAAATCATGTAGTTCTAAACAAAATATCTTGAAGGTGGTGGCCACCATTCTCTATGCACTGATGCAACCGTTTTCTGAAGTTCCCCTCTGCACGTTCCAACATGTGCACCAGAATTTGGCCTACTTCCTGCCGAATAACATTCTTCAGCTGAAGCAGGTTTGTGGGGTGATGTTTAAAAACCTCTGCCTTGAGGTATCTCCATAAAAAAAATCACAGGGCATTAGATCAGGTGAGTGCGCTCTGCCCACGGGATGTCACCTCGAAGCGACACGAACCGTCCGGGGAACTTTGTCCTCAAAACTGTCATCGAAGCTCGGGCTGTGTGGGCCATGGCACCATCCTGTTGGAACCAGAGATTTTCTAGATGCATTTCTTCAAGAGCTAGTTAAAAAAAGTTTTTAATCATGTCCACGTACCACTGTGAATTGACAGTAACTGCATGATTGTCTTCTTCAAAAATATAAGGGCCAATAACTCCAACTCTCGACAACGCACACCATACTGTCACCTTACTACTGTGAAGTGACCTCTCATGGAGCTCTCTGGGATTGTTACCACTCCAATGGCACATATTCTGCTTGTTGACATACCTGGATAGGTGAAAATGTGCCTCATCACTAAAGAAAACAAGTGCATGAGGGGGTAAAGTTTCCAGTAACGTTTTGCATGCCGTTATTCGGTTCTGAAAATCACGTGGTGACAATTCTTGCACAACAACCATCTTACAGGGATGGAAATTAAGATGTTCATGAAGAATTCGGCTCATTGAACGATTGGATATGTCTAGGCCGACTGCATGTTTGCTAGCGGAGCGTCTTGGAGATCTCAAAATTGACTGTTAAACTGCCTTCACATTTTCTGGCGTCGTAACCGCCTGTTGTCGTCCTGATGATTCTTTCATCACACTCCCGGTTGTCCTAAGGTTCTCTACCCACAAAACAATCAATTTCCGGTCAGGAACCGGACCTCTGGGCTTAATTCTGAAGTGAGTACGGAACGCACACTGCACCGCCATGTAGGAATGGTTGTTCGAAAAATAGGCTTCGACAGCAAATGCACGCTGCTCACTCATCCACCTCGTGTTTCCTACTGAGGGGTATTAGACAGAAACTTCCACAACTGCTGCGTTCACCAAGCCTATCCCCACTTTTCTGCGACCTCCCCTCCCTTCACAATGCGTCTTAACAAAAAGGAAGTTTCTGCGCCCCATCCTATACTATGGTTCAGTGAAAACTGTACAAATAATCAAATTCCTAACAAAATGAGATATAAAGAAAACAAATTCTTGTAAACAATATTGGATCTCTAGAAAGGACACTTCCATTTCCCATTTGCAATGATATACTGGTGTGCCTCTTTAAGAGAACCATTTACTACCAGTGCCTCTTCATTAGCCCACATCCAGTTATGTTACCCCCCTCTCCTTGGGTCTGATAACCATGTACCTTGTAACCTGCTTGTATGAGAAAACCATTTCCTGAACCTACACACTTCACCCCTTAAGATGGAGGCAAAATATTTATCTGAAATGACAGTATCTACTTACAGGACCACACACACACTGCAGTCTTAAACAGTTTGCTGCCATAGAAACCTGAAAACTGTTTTTTAATGTTGCCCATCATGCAGGAGCTGAATGATAAATTTGCCTGTGCTTAAAACACGTTTTATTTTCCATTATTCATATGTTGAAATTAAAAAAAATTTCTTTGTTTATTGAAGTTTTGAATGTAAATTGATGAACATATGACTGCTTTGCCATCAGCTTTATGTATGGCAAGCTCAAGCATGATTTCACCATGCATCCTCCCTAGAGTCCCACTTTGTAAATGCTAAAAGGAAAGAATAACAATTCATGAATGCTACTCCGCCATTCATAAGAATCTTGTTTGTCTTGGTTTAATTAACAGTGCTTAATCAGATTCATAGGTCACAGAGCTTTGAATTGCATTATGATTGTAAAATGGTCAGTTGAGAAGAATGTGAATGTGATGTATTTTAAGATTCAATCCCAGCATTCTCCTAAAGAGACTGAGGAATATCATAAAATATCTCTTAGGATAGTCAGTCTGCAGGCTGAGATTTGAACCTACTATTGTAAGGACCATCATAACCTTATTGTTTACATTTCAAAACAAATGTATGGGACACTGAACATCAGAAACAACTGGATGAATAAACATGCTCTTATTCCACATGAACAGAACATTGTAATTAATGTGTTGTGTTATTTATGGATAACCCCCAGGTAAATTTTGTTAGTGAATAGTGTGTAGTGTATAAATGATTTGATAGCCAGCTGACATTCTTTGTATGTTTAATGAAATACAAATTTATAAATAGCAGTTAAATTCACTGTTAAGTAAGCACACAGTTTCAATACTGGAGATTTAATTTATGTTATTCATCCATTGCAAATAAAATTGCTAGGTAAATTAAGCTTATAATCTTTTATAATATAAGCTCTCAGTTCAGTAAATACCATCAGAATTAGGATGTCATTTCAATTTATTTACATGATTAATTTATACACAAAGGGAGATAGTAATAATTGCCATATTTGTATTGTGTTGTGATTCTCTTTGGTTTGATGGAAGACTGCTCAAGATGACAGTCTAGAGGCACTGTAACATACACTGGTAACCTGCACTAGAAAATATGAAATAAAACAACTCTATAAGCTGCTGTGCTAAATGAAAGTTTTAGTTGGAAAATTAATCTTTTATGCTGGAGTTAAGTTTGATTTCATTTTTAATTTTTCTTCATTATTTTTATGTGAACAGTATGCTAATAAGACTGAATACTCATATGCTTTTAATGGAGGCTGTATGCCCAATTATATAGGGACCTGAAGATTCAGATTTCTTATCTTATTGTAAGAGGTAATATATTCCTTCATTCTCATGTAGTGCATTATTTTTTGAAAGGCCAATTTTATTATGTAAATTTACCTAGTTAAATTTCAACATTAAATGCTAATTTACAAAGGTGCTCGTAAGAGTAAAGCTATGGCATGAAGTATTAGAAGTAACATCTGAGGAAGAGGTCTACATGTACATAGAATTGTGACTCAGCTTCATTTCTCTTTATGAATATTTATGAAAACCCTATATATTTGAATGCAGTTTAACTTCCAGAATGAATTGGAATGAAAATGGAAATATATCCAGATTCAGCTCACTTCTTCTTAAGGTTCTGTGTAGGAGCTTCTCATTTTATGAGCTTTTGCATTATTGGTAGACTATTTACTCCCTTCCAGCCTTTAAATGAAGTGTAATGTTATCATGGGAGGTTTCTACATGTAGACATATTCTATTTTAAGGTTACTTCTTATCAAAATTGACTGTTTTTTACATGCACCCCAACCTCCAGATCCTTGATAAGGCACTGAAGAGGATCTTTATTTTTTAATTGTGTTGAGAAGAATTCTTGTATAGTAATGTGATTTCCTTCTAATTAGATTGACTGCTCCTAAACTTGCAACATTCATGGAATTTGTCTCGTCAGAAATGGATCAAAACAGGCAAGTGACACATTTTTCTTGTCTTGTATTTTATACCAGTTTCTGAGTGACCTAGTGGAAACTGTCCTGCATATGTTAAAACGTAACTATATACATTATGTAATTTATGGATGACCATTTTATAATGAAAACAAATGATCATTTAATGCAGAGCAAACATTTTCACTTTCTAATTTGTTACTCTGTTATTTATGCATGCATGGATACTGTAAGGAAAGGCAATCTTCAAAAGATGGATGCAATGGTGATTTAATTGACATGCAGAACAGCTGGCAAATGCCTAAATTATAGAATCATTGATAACATCCTCCAGTGTGATTCAATTTTTATATATTTATTGCTTTTATGTGTTCAGTCAGCTGTGACCATCTTCAGAAGGCATAGGATCAACATGTTTAGGAACCGCTATTACAAAGCTCATAATACATACATAGAAGTCATTGTAAATAACTCTTTTTATATAATAACTTTATGTATTATGAGAAGTTAAACAGTACCGTCTAGTGTAACTGGTGAAGATTGTTCTTATTTCAATTATTTATGCCCTTACATGTTTCAATCTTCAGAGGGACACCTTTACATCAATACAGTTGGAAGTTACTATTACAATATATGTTCTGAACGTTAAAATACACTTGGTCATTGACTTACAACTGGCTTCCATTCTGACTGACAGGTCGTAAGTCGATCTGGTCATATGTTGGCCATATATTTATTAACAGTATTTTTTAACCTTTCTAATCTTTTTATCATCATTATAATTTATTTTTAAAAACTTTTACATTTTAATCACCTTTTATTTTTCATTTTTTGTGGTCGTAAGTGCGGCCAGTCATAAGTCACATAGGTCATAAGTTGACGACCAAGTGTATATACATATAATATTAATAATATACAGTTGGGTATAAAGTCTAAAGTTTTTACAAATACAGTGGCTATTCCAATATATTAAAATATTTGTAATTGGTTTGTTTAAATTTTATTGGAATTTATAAACCAAGTAGGTTCATGTCGTCTTTCTTATTTCTCTTGACGGGGGCCGAACACATACAGGACAACATCAAAGAAGCCTCTTCTTGAGAACTGCAAGGAGGCACACATTTGGCCCCCGTCAAGAGAAATAATAAGAAAGACGACACGAACCTGCTTGGTTTATGAATTCCAATAAAATCTTAACAAACAAATTACAAATATTTTAATGTATTGGAACAGCTGCTGTAGTTGTAAAAACTTTAGATTTTATACCCAATTGTATATTATTAATATTATATGAATATATTTTAATGTTCAGAACATATATTGTAATAGTAACTTCCAACTCTATTGATGTAAAGTTCTCCCTCTGATGATGGTCTCTGAAGACCGAAACATGTAAGGGCATAAATAATGGAATAAGAAAAATCTTCACCAGTCACACTGAACAAAACTGTTTAACTTTTCATGATATTGTTAATGTGACGGACCAGAATGAAACAAATCAAATGTTTTATGAGCTTTGTAATAGTAGTTCCTAACTTGTTGACCTTATGCCTTCTGAAGATGTTCACAGCTGACCAAAACATGTAAAGGCAATAAATATCTACAAATTTAATCACACTGGATGGTGTTATCAGTTATTCTATAATTTATTTTACTAATGTGACGGACCAGAATGAATAAAGTTAAGTGGCAGATGCCTGTTTATGTATGCATAAATAAATGGGCAGGCTGCGGACAGAAACATAGAAATATTTTAAAATTGTGATGCCATAATTGTTGTCCCTGATAGAACAGAAGCTGTTTATTTCATTTAATTCAGACTGGCCTGTTTTCCAGTAATGATCTTATGAAACTGAAGGCTCCATTAATGCTATGAAGTTTTGTAGTTGCTTTTGTTGTTGAATGAATTGACTGACTTAACTTCCAGCATTGAATGTTCTCAGTTACACCTAGTACTGAAAGAAATGAATCAGTTTGCCTACTCTATCGTCCATTTATGGTAATAAAATACACTATCACTGTTGTTCCTTTTTTCAATCATTTGAAACCATATAGTTTGCTGCCAGTAAAATGTTGTTTCTTCATTCTTATACTTTCCAGTATTCAGTGCTGTATATCAGCAAGGTGTCAGAATCTGATTTTTTTGTTGGTGTTATATAAATGCACTCCTAGTGGTATGTTGGACACACATGTATCAAGTATTGTACTTAAACTGAATTTATGATTCTTCCTCCAAATTAATTCAAAATCTGGTATTAAGAAATGACAAAACTTTCTTGTGGGGGGTGGGGGCTGGTTTGAGACATTATCTTAATTATGTTTTGATACTTTGCTGATCAAAATGAAGGCATGAACTGTCTTCTCCTGCTTGAACACTGGGATCGTGGGTCCAAATCCCACTTGAGGCATGGTTGTCTGTGTGCATTTATTCTGTGTTTGTGTTCTCTGCATATGTAGCAGACTTGCAACAGGCTGATCCCCCATCCAAGGAGTCCTGGCGACTTTGTACAGATTAAGAACCTGAAAAAGTGGCCAAGTTCCACAAGGGCTGTAGAGCCATAGATAGAATAGATAGATGTTTTGATACTTTACATTTTCACTTAAACATTTTTTATATCAGTGACAGAAATTCATTCTACAAAAGGAATGCTATTTGTTGTTAATCCTCTGTAACTTACAGGATGGAGTTTAAGACATTTAGTTGTTATGACAATTTTGTTCCTTGCAACAACTGTGGAGCCCCAGATCATACACCTACTCACTATGCATTGCAACATCTGGAGCGCTTGCTGCAGGGTATCTCACAGCGTCTTCGTACTATGCCTGTGTCTGAACTGCTTCCACCAGCACCAGATGAGCCAGGACCACCTACAGAGGAAGCTGTCATTGATGATAGGGATGGTCTGGTGAGAAGCCGTCTTTATTTATAAGAGCAATAAATTGTGTTAGATTTAAGGGAGGTTCCATGCAGTATGTAATATCCTACTGAATTGCCAAAATAGATGTAATGAATATGGTTCACTCACACTGGCATCACTGTCCACTCTGTGCTTTGGCAACAACTGGGTATTATACATAGAGCCAGGGGCTAAGTTGGCACAGCAGTAAGGTAAACAGAATTTTATCTAAAATAAATTTCGCCCTCTTTCAAACCTTTATAAAATTTTGTTGACATTCACAGAATAACAAGTGGTACCCATTTAAAGATGGCACAGATTGGTAGTTATATGAAGTTAATCTAAAAGATTTGTTACAGTACTGAAGAATATCAGGTCATATCCCCCTTTTTGTTATATATATATGTGTGTGTGTGTGTGTGTGTGTGTGTATGCGCGCGCGTGCTGGCGAGTGCATGTGTGAAACCCATGAAGTGAGAGTGATTAAGCAGAATATAAGAATCTTAAGCTCAGTAGTTTGATAGTTAACTATTTCCAACTTTGCATTTTGGAATGTGTGTTTTTGTTTAGTTCAGTGACTGGTATCATGTAGTCTAATTTTCGGAGGGTACAATATATGTGCGCATGAATGTGCGTATAAATTGTTTGAGCAGCTTAATGCAAAGAGCAGTAGTTTTGTCTGGATATGAAATGTAGCCAGTAACATTTAGAGAATAACATAAATTACGAGTGTTGGAAAGTCAAGCACTTTGGGCCTAAAAGGGATACATTTAATTCTTAATTTAGAATTTTATGTATCAAAGAAGTTTATGGTTTATACAGGTCATCTGGTGTTGTTAGGGTAATGAAAAGATAGAGATTATGATGAGCCAAACATATATCTTGGGTGTGGAGGTAAAGAATGGGTTTTGAATTATGAAGGGGAATTCTCTAGATATGTGACCAGAGGGACCAAGAGGGAGATGGGAGGATAATATGAAGCTAGGTCTTGTTAGTCAAATGAGTTGCAAGGATAGAATCTGAATGGATCAGGAATACGTTAAATGACAGGCTGTATTAACAGTAGGGTTTTATTGTTGTTTGTGGTTTATTTAAAGACACTGTTAGTATCAACACTGTATAGCATAGAAGTAATGTTTAACCTCCAATGCACCTATGGGGGATTTTATTAGATTCACAGATTGAGTAAAATAATTTGAGCAAGATGAATATTAGAAGAATGTTGGGATAAATATTTTATTAAGCATATAAATATAATAAAAGTAAAGGATTTGGCAGTAGGTTGTAAGAAGTAGCACAGATGATATTCATAAAAAAGAAGCTTCTTTACTCTTAGTTTAGTCAATATTTTCCAGGTTATGCATGTGTTATGTTCATAAATGTGTCTTAAAACAAACTTAGCGTGTGGTAAACTGAACTGTGTGGAGACCAGCATTGAATATCTTAAATTACAAATTATTAGAAATATTTGTTCCTTGATTTTTTATGATACTTTGTCTGCCGTGTGTTATGTAGTGTTATAAGAGGAATTATAGGATGCTTACAAATGATGGGTTAGGAAAGGGACTGTTCTCACATTCTTGCCTGGATGGACTGCCATGAAAGCTGTTAGGATAGTCTGTTGCCTAGCTGACATTCAGACTGTAGGTACCTTCAAAATATGAAACAGGAATAGGGGTGCACTTTCAGCATTAATTGATTTGATAATTTGAAGCGTGCAGAAACATTTAAGCAGCTATATTGTATTTAAAGGAGAGTCTTTGTATTGCATATGAAACAAGAAGTTCTGGGAAAAGCTAATCACTTACATTTCTTTCACTAGAATTTGAGTATCTGATATGACAAGTAGAAAGAAAACTTCAGTAATTATATGTAATGAAATCAATAAAAAATTGGGAGGCTCAATATTGGTATTACTGATTGGGATGATTTATGAAGTACACCATTGAGATGGCCCCAGATGGCATGATATATGAACCAAGTTCCATGAAGATTGGTTCTGGCATTCAGTTAACATTAAGGTTATTACCTTGACTGTCTGAGATGCAGCAAAGTTGGTATTGTAAATGGGAATGATTTATAATGCATGCCATTGAGATAACCTCAGTTGGAATGACACATACATGTTGTCATGTATATAGGTGACTCTTGACAGGGTTTTAAATTGGATATTCGATTTACTGGCCACTTACAGGTTGTAACTAAAAATAACTATAACACTATTGCTGATTTCTACACTTTACCAATTACTCCAGCACATACAAAGTCTTTTCATTATGCTTTCACTAGTTGTTTCCTGGCTGTGGATTTTAACACAGTAACTATAACAGTCTCGCTGAATTACAGGCTCCAAATATTACTATTCTCCTATTCACTGGTTGACTTTCAGCTGAGCACTGAACTCCCAGGCTGGTGTCCTCGTTATATAACCCCTTACCATGGACCACTTAGAAAACACTGTTTCCAGCAGTGTTGCATGTGTATCCATTGCCGCAGGAACATGTTTACCGAGCCATTCCCTTAGCAGTGGGCATCTGTTCCTGCTTAATAGAAATTTGTTGCCTAGCAGCAAATATTGTTTCGTTTTCTGTTTGAGGTTGCTACTCAGCAACAGCTCTACACGCTACATTGCTCCCTCCTTAAGTCGGTTCGTCCCAAATAGCCTACAGGCTTACCATCTTTTCTTCTTTTCCGTGGGCTATGCTTGTGCTGTATGTGATCGGTCTCGCCCTTCTTCCCTGTGGCTTGGATCTCACAGTGATTACTCTGCATCTGCTTTCATTGCTGCCTCCCTGATAAGGTGCCAGTCAGTCCCGGTGTATCACCATCACCCTTCTTTACCAATCGGTGATGGCAACAGTTCCTAGAATGGCCAGTGTTCCTACATCCATGGCTTTTACCCTGTGTGCAGTCTCTTCTTTCATTTCAGAGGGAGCCGATCCCTCCACATTGTTCAATCATTTTCCATAGTCTAGTGGAAGCCCCGACTGTTTGCTTTGTGATTTCCAGCTCTACAGTCTTACCTGATGTCTTCTCCTTCCTCAGACATAGTCGTTCCTTTAAGTCTTGGTGTCTTATTCCATTGATGCATTCCTGTTGAGCCTGATGTCTCTTCCCGAACATTCGTTCTTTGTGGACTCCTTGTACCACACTGTCCCTGCCTGAACCCTGATGACCATGTCCCTTAAACGGTGCAGGCCTCAGGTGGCATGATACACATACCAAGTCTCGTGACAATCAGTGAAGGCATTTGATTAATACTAAGGGTATTACCTGTTTGCTGTTTGCTGTCAAAGCCTATTTTTAGAACAACCATTCCTACTTGGCGGTGCAGCGTTCGTTCCGTACTCACTTTGGAATTAAGCCCAGAGGTCCAGTTCCTAACCGGAAATTGATTGTTTTGTGGGTAGAGAACTTTAGGACAACCGGGAGTGTGGTGAAAAAATCATCATGATGACAACGGACCGTTATGACACCAGAAAATGTGGAGGCAGTTCGACAGTCGATTTTGAGATCTCCAAGACGCTCCGCTTGCAAACATGCAGTTGCCCTAGACATATCCAAACATTCAATGTGCCGAAATCTTCACGAACTTCTTCATTTCAATCCCTATAAGATGGTTGTTGTGCAAGAATTGTCACCACGTGATTTCCAGAACCGAATAACGGCGTGCAAAACATTATTGGAAACTTTACCCCCTGACGCACTTGTTTTCTTTAGTGATGAGGCATATTTTCACCTATCTGGATGTCAACAAGCAGAATATGCGCTATTGGAGTGGTAACAATTCAAGAGAGCTCCATGAGAGGCCACTTCACAGTGATAAGGTGACAGTATGGTGTGCGTTGTCGACAGTTGGAGTTATTGGCCCTTATATTTTTGAAGAAGACAATCATGCAGTTACTGTCAATTCACAGTGGTATGTGGACATGATTAAAAACTTTTTTTAACCAGCTCTTGAAGAAATGCATCTAGGAAATGTCTGGTTCCAACAGGATGGTGCCACGGCCCACGCAGCCCAAGCTTCGATGATAGTGTTGAGGGCAAAGTTCCCTGGATGGCTCATCTCGCTTCGAGGTGACATCCTGTGGGCACCACACTCACCTGATCTAATGCCCTGTAATTTTTTTATGGGAATACCTCAAGGCAGAGGTTTTTAAACATCGCCCCACAAACCTGCTTCAGCTGAAGAATGTTATTGAGCAGGAAGTAGCCCAAATTCCGGTGCACATGTTGGAACGTGCAGAAGGGAACTTCAGAAAACGGTTGCATCAGTGCATAGAGAACGGTGGCCACTACCTTCAAGATATTTTGTTTAAAACTACACGATTTAAAACTTTAAAGTATGTTCTTTCATTAGTTAAACATAATTTTGTCTGTCAGCAATAATTTTTCTCTTATGCGCCTTAAAAAAAAAGGAAGTTTCTGCGCCCCAATCTGTATTTACGATGTATGCCGTTAAGATGGGCTCAGGAGGAATGATGAACTATGAAGTTTTATGAAGATCGGTACAGGCATTCAGACAGTATTAAGTTTTTGCCTCAAGAGTTTGAAAGGTTGTATTGTCGTTATTACTGATGGGAGGGATGTATGAATTGTGCTGTTCAGATGGGCCCAGGTGCCATGATAGTCATACTATGTTTCATAAAGATTGGTGCAAGGGTTCGGAAGTTGTTAGGGGGGGATACACATACAGATACATAGACAGCAAGTTGATCTCATAAGCCTAACTATATTTTTTTCAGAATAAGGAAAGTAGGCTAAAAACAATTGAGTTTATGAAAACAGAAATTATTTTCTCATGCTCTTTTCCTTAGCAGCCACAAGAGGAGGAGGATGAAGAAATGGCTCCACTGTGGTGGAGAGAGGGCCTCAACTTGGATAAAGCTCACTTGGTGCTTATAGGGTTCAGTAAAGGTTGTGTGGTCTTGAACCAGTTCATCTATGAATTCCATTATCTCAAGACTCTAACCCCAGATGATGATACAATGATGAGACTTGTGTCAAGAATTCAGGATATGTATTGGTTGGATGGTGGACATGCAGGTGGCAAAAATACATGGATTACTTCCAGAAGTCTTCTAGAGACTCTCACACGGTTAGGTAAGTAATTAACACACATGAATGGAATTAAAATTGAAACTGACTTATAGGTTAGTATTTGTATTCGTATTATAAGAGGGGGTGGGTTTCCCCATGCACTTAGACCAGTTATTGGTCCATTGTGCGTCCCCCTTTAATTTCTACTGTCACCATACCCTACCGGTAACAGTGCGTGCCATCAGCACCCGTTGAGCCAACGAGGTTGGCCCTCGGTACCTTGATGCTTCCCCCATCCACCAGAGGCATTGGAGACTACTTGGGCGGGAAAGTGCCTGTAATTTAGCTCAGAGGTCTCCTAGAGACATGAGGTTCTTTTACGTGCCATAAATCTATGACACGGGACACACAGCTTAAAGTCCCTCCCGGAGGACTTGTTCCCTGAATTTTTCTGCCCTTAAAAATTCCACGACCTCCACCAGGTTTGAACCCGCATACCTTGAGTCATGAGGTGGGAACATTACCCCTAGACTATGGAGGCCTCTGACTTATAGGTTAGTATTAGCCATGGAGGTATGCTGCATACATTTTCATATTCTTGCAGGTTGTTAGCTTCGATCTTAGATTTCACATACCCCAGGAAATGTTAGCAGGACTAAAGTTATTTGCAGGAAGGGGATGGGAGTTATGAGAACTGTAGCTGCTGTTAACAATCGTCAAAGCCTAACTATCTTCCTTCTTCCATCACTGAACACAGAAAGTACCGTACATAATAATATATTTCAATATGAATTGGATATAAGGTGTAAAGACATTTTACTCACTTCATGTCAGATGGACACACCACAGTGGTAATCTGGAAGCTAGAAAAGTGGTTCTGGATGCCATTACTTGATGATTCCCCCCCCCCAATGTGTACACTGATACATAAAACCAAATACCGTGGTTGGTAAAAGTGGATACAAATGGAAAACTGCAGATACTTTAAATCACAATTGGAAAATTGCATCTGATGAGGGATTCATTAATAATAGCCATATTTGTCATAAAAAATTTACCCTTCCTCTAAACAATAGTAATTGATAGCTGTATGGCCCTATGAGAACCTTGCCCTCAACTTTGACAAAGTGTTTTCCTTTTACTGTTTCACTTTTGCTTCCATCACTCCACTCCAGCCATATCAGTATGGACTTTCCCACTTTTCTTCTACTTTCTGACTTACTTTTAGAAACCTTCTGAGCCACCCCTGCTTGATTTATTCTAATCTAATCTAATCTAATTCTAATCTATTTATTCTCCTCTTAATATGTGTTACCAGATCAGGCGTTTGTATAACTCCCTTAGTTCTTGGTTGATTCTAATTCTTCAAACCCCCATGCTTAGTTACTGGCCCATGCAACCTCAGAAAATTTTCTTTTCCACCTATTTGCATTACTGAGGAGTTATGTCAATATTAAATAAACTCTAAACTGGACTTGTTTTTTCTCTCATTTTTAGGCATGTTTTAATCCTGTAGGGCACCTACTAGATTCACTCAGTTTGTCCATCCATACACAGGAACCAACTCTAGAATTGCCAATTATCATGAATTGAATACTGGAGTGTTTTAACCTTTACGAGACTGGTCGACTATATGCTGGTTGTTAAATTATACTTGCTCTCGACCTGATGACCATAGCTGGTAACCATGGTATTACTCTGGATTTCCATTCAGAAAACATGCCAGATAAGTTTTTATGGGTACTTTCATCTTGGATATGAAGAATATTACTTTCTGCGATCTAACCCCCCATAGTCTGATAAAATTCAGACCTTTCAGATGAACGCACTGCCTCCATCTTTGGGATTGATATGTAAATTGAGTGACAACCAGCAAGACTGAGTGGCAGACAGAGTCTGTGAAGAGTACCGTCATCTCATACATAATACCACATAGCCTGGTAGATGTCCACTGACATTCCAGAGGAATGTGCTGCCTCCATTGTCAGGGTCAAAGAATAGGTGAAGTGCGAAACCAACAAGAAGCAGGCTCAAACAGAGCTCTGTGACATTCCTTTCTCTTAGGTCTGACTGCCTTGCAACAGTTGAATTTCTTTTTTGTCAGACCTTTGAATGAGTCAGATGACAAAAATGAGTTGTCCCCATATAGCTTACATCCATGCCCCTCTGCCTTTTCTGTCAAGTGTTTGAGTTGTGTGTGTTATTGTCACACATGTCCTATTTTCCTTATGTAGATGTCCATATCATGAGTGTGGCCAGACATGTCACATGATGCAAAAAGTTCTGTTCTGAAACATATATGTCCTTTGGACTTGCATTTTTTTAAAATTATCCTTCACATGAGATTGGTGAAATGAGTATTTGGCATTGAGATCAAGAAGTTGTCATAGTTCAGGTCATTACTGTCAGGAGCATTGTCATTGTTTGAAAAGTGGAGAAGTCTAAGAACATAAAAGAATATGTTACATCTTATTCTTTTGCCATAAAAGGGTGGAAACATCTGTTCAGCAGTCGCTAAATTGTCTTTCAGGTGGTCGTGTGTAATGTCCTATTTGAATAACAGCTGCTAGAAACAGAAACATTTCAGATTCAGTGACATCAAGTATTGAAGAAGGTCTGTCGTGAAGGTAATCTATGTATGAGTATTATTGGTAGTATCAGTTGGTCTCACCAACCAACAATGCAAAAAACAGCTGCAAAAATACAGCATGAAAACACTGTATGGAATAGAGTCTTTATTTTTATTGGGTGCATATCACAAGTGAATTGACGGATATTGCTCTTCACCCTCCCATAATTATCTGCCCTTTAACACCCTTTGGGAGGGTTGGAAGCAGCTCAGACTGTCAGAACTGTCAACTGTGTTGTAGTCTTGAACTTCCATATCTGACTGACCTGTTAGTTGACCTTGCTTGTTCACTTCTTGGTAAGATGGAAATGGAGCTTGTTCTTTCATATGATAATCTTTTTTGTCTGCTTTGTCAGCATTCCTCACCTCTGATTTGTTGTCAATTCAATCTCATCCTTGTCGAAGCACGTTCTTTTGGAATTTGTGATGTCATTCCCTTGTGGTGTGAGAATAGAAACAAGAACCTCAAAACACTGGTATAGAGACTGAAACAGAATGAGCTGGCAATTTTTACTCCCCCTCTCAACATATCCTGATAGTTGAGTTCCACAAGTGAAGCTTATTGTATGATACACCCACTCTGTCCTTAGAATAGTAGAACTATTGTATAGAAAGGCAGCAGTTTTGATTATGGTGGCTTCTTTTGCCTGGATAGGGGTTCCCAAACCATGGTCAAGGGGTCGTAATTCATATACTTCAGCATCCAGTTGTCAGTTCTAGCACTTTTCAGAGCTAAATATAAAATCACACTGAAGTGAACATGTGAAAATATATAATCATTTCAGGAAAGAAACATAAACTAAGTGCATGTATATAGACTGCCTGTTTCAAACTGCATACAGATAAATATATTAATTCTGAACAATCCAGTATTTATTTGGAGCGTATAACTTTAAAATTGCAATAAATACTGTTTATTTTCTGAAACTCTGCATTTTCAGACATTTAAGGGCATTTAAAAAGTCCGGCCAACAGCTTCTACACTGGGGGGTTTAAATGCTGTCTCCTAAAGGTTAATAAAATATGCCACAGTTATAACTAAAATCAGACATAGCAGTCATTTTACAAGACCTGCATGCATTTCTCCATATAACTTGACTACGAACTGCCGAACATTTATTGGAGCAAGAAAAATCTTCCAAGTAAAGAGAAAAATGAAACACAAGTTCTATGTTCAGTACCTTTTTTCTGAAGTATCACAGTTTTCGAGATAATTAAAAAAAAGAAACTCTGTGTACGTTTTCAAAATTTTATGTTCAACAGTCAACATGGACTTCTTAACGTAAAAGAACCTCATATCTCCGAAGGAGGTCACTGAGCCAAATTACGGACGTTTCCCGCCCAACAGCAGTCTCTAATACCTCCGGTAGATGGGGGAAGCATTATAGATACCTCTCAGCTAGTAGAGCCGGTCTCGCTGGCTGGGCGGGACTGATGGCAAGCACCAGTACCGGTAGGATATAGAGGCTGGTAGAAATCATACAGGGAAGCACAATGGACCAATACAGGTCTCAGTGCATGGGGAAACCCACCCTCTCCAATAACTAACTAACTACTTATTTTTTACTGCATCAAAAGTTTTTACATGTGTTATGTCTTTTTCACCATGTATCCATAAATTAGTGGTATGATAACAGTAAATTAAAAGTCTTATACCTTCTTCCCAAACGGTATACCTGATGTATTTTATAGGTAATGTATCCAGTTAAACATTAATTTTTTATCAGATTTACATAGTAACATACCTCATTCTTTCTTGCCATTGCCATGGAATATCATGTTAGGTGTATGAGATTTGAGGTTCATACAGCAGTGACTGAAGATTATTGCCATTTGGAATGTGATACTATGTAATCTGGTAGATATTTACAGTGTCATAGGAACTTGCAGCCACCATGCTTAGTGTTACAAGAGTGTCTACATGCCATTACATTCCTGAAGTCAGTAACCTTCATGTTAAGTGTTTGTATGTCTGTCATATTGTTCTGTATTTAGCGAATACTGACTCAGTACTTTTGATTGTTAATACAGTGGTATGACACCTGATAGGTAATATGCTATTGCTTCCAGAAATGTCAGATTAAGGTGAATATACTTTCTTTTGTGTGTTTGAAAGCTCAGTATAGTCAAAGTTCTAACTGAAAATTTTTAGAAAGGCAAATAAATTGTATAATTTTTAATTTATAACTTGTATTGGGTTTTGTGATCAAATGCATGTTTTTAAGGAAATATTTTCTGTTATGGCTTTCTCTGAATGTAAATAAAAATATCTACTGAACTCCTACTGAAGCTAATCAGAATTATTATTATGATATAAATTTACAGATATATTATGCATAAATATCATTCTGATGCTAAGTGAAAATAGAGGATTTCATTTTATTAGTGTTGGCCAATAGATGCAGTTATATACAAGAGTTGGATAAATAGTGGTGGCAGCAATGCTGTAACATGAAAGATGTGCGACAGGTGGCACTAGCGCCATCTGTAGCTGATAGCAGAAGTTCAGTTGAAGTAGTGCAGTGAGTGGCTCTGGTTATGTTTCATTGAGTTGCATTGTGCATCATCTTGAAGTGCAGGAGCCCAGTTCAAGCACCCTAAGAACATGTTTACAAAACAAGAAGAACGGTCCTGGATAAAAATTGAAGTTGCACAAGTTCATAGTGCACAAAACTTATCAGGGACTGCAAAAAGAATGTGGTGATGGTGCTATGCCATATCGCACAGTGGCACGATGGGTGAAATTGTTCTGTGAAGGGAGGGATGCCATTCAGGACGACCCCATGTTGACAACCACACAATTCAGTTTCTAGCTTCTTTTCTGGATGTCAATCATCGATGGGCTGCTTGGGAGTTAGCTGCTGAGGTAGGTGTATGTCACAAAACCATGCTCCACATTCTCCACGATATTATTGGATACCGCAAAATTTTAGCGCGTCGGGTACCCCATACAATGTCCGAGGTGCAACAATGGCAACGTTACGCAATTGCACAGGACTTGTTCAGCCAGTACCAGAAGGAAGGTGGCGACTTCCTTGGAAGGATCGTCACTCTGAACGATACTTGGGCTTGCTCATACGAACCACACTTGAGGCAAACAGTCAAATGAATGGAAACATCCTGGCTCTCCTCGTCCAAAGAAAGTGTGCCCTACAGAGTAATGTGAAGGCAATGTTCATTGTGGCATATGACACTGATGGAGTGATACTGCACCACACTGTACCTCAACGACAGACAGTAAATGCTACCTACTACTGCAGTTTCCTGCATAATCATCTTCGTCCAGCACTCAGGAGAAAGTGACAACACTTGCTGGAAACGAACCCAATCATCCTTCATGACAATGCAAGGTCTCATACTGCTGACGTCAAGGATCTCCTTCGCCGCTGGTGATGGAAGATACTGCAACATCCACCATACTCACCCAATATGAGTCCGTGCGATTATGATAACTTTGCCAAAATGAAAGAACCACTGCAAGGGTTATGTTACAACACAAGAGAGGAGATTATTCGTGCTGTAGGGCGGTCACTTTTGGACATCAACAGAAGTGGATGCATTGATGGTGTATGACGCCTTCCACAAATTTGGCAGAAGTTGGTACACATGGGGGATGATTATATTGAAGGAATGTACGCGTGTCTACTTCAGGTAAACAGAACTATAGCGGTGTTGCCACTTCTCTTTATCAAACCTATGTATAAAATGACATATAAAATTTGACTTCATTCCATACACATTTGAAGTGGCTCATTACTTGAAAAAATTCTTGGCAGGATTTTGCACCAAATACTTTCATTAATGCATAGATTGGCAAGTCTGTCACAGTTTATCATTGTACTGTGTTCTTCTATGGCAGGCATTGGGATTCATATCCATGTGACTCCATACCAAGTACATGATGAGCGCCGCCCATGGATTCGAAAGGAGGAAAAAACATTTGGTGACTTGCTGAGAAGGTTAGGGGCCCCTGTCCAAAGAACCTTGCATTTTGAAAATCAAGTTGCAAGTCTGTACACACATTTTGAGGTGCTTAATGCCTTTCGGCAGGCTGCCAAGTGAGTTATTTCTCTTTAAATACTAAAAAGTGATAAGAACGGAAAGTTTTCCTACAACGTCCATAACAACGTGGCTTACCTTACCACATGGTAAGTTTTCATTAGTTCACAGGTCTTCAAAGTGAGCTGTCTGAGCTGCAGTATACAGTATGTTTTAAATGATCAGGTTTGTCTGGATGCACCTGTGCTGCACTTATATACTGTGATGTCTTCGTTTTCTTCAAGCCTGTTAATTTTCTGAATTACAAACTTGTATCAGAATGATAAAAATGAATACAGCTTTAAAAGTACTTACTCTCTATGTATGTCCTAGGGAGTTACCATAATCTAAATAACACCAGTGCTGTTGTTGCTCTGATCAAATGACCATCCAGTGGTGTGAAAATAAATTTCCATGGAGGTTCAAACTTTAATGTAATACCTTTGGTTTTAGATCCTAGGTGTACTTGTAGGCCTTAACAGTTTTAATAAAACTTGTTATTCTCAAGTTTGTATTTTCTACTTGGATAAAATCGTGAAACAGTAGTTACACCATCTTGATTTATTGACTGTATTTACAGTTTGTTACAAGAATGGACTACAATGTACATATATTAGATTTACTTATTATTTAAAATACATTGGTTTGAAATGCTCAGTCCACATAAATTCTAGGTTTCAGCCTCCTTGTGAAATTTTTATTGGTGTGTGGTCTGTATACATTGTAGATTTCAAAAGTTCCTGGCAGTTGGAATGTAGGAATACTCTTTTATAAGTATGTGTTTCATAATAGTCTTTATTTGCTCTTTTCATGTTATATTGAAGTGATACTTCATAATTAAAATGTAAGCTGTTTACAACATTAGTTAAAAGTTTGTGGTCATAAAGTAGGGCAAGAAGTCAACATTCTTGCAAGAAAAAGATACATAATGTTATGTATTTTGTATTACTTTATCATGTGAATTATTAGTTTTGTTTCTTACTGTGCGCTTCTTTAACCAAAAAACTTTTCCATTTTATGATAAAAAGGTGAGGAGTTAAGATTAATCTTGCATTATACCTGTACACAAGTTATAGCATTCTATCTGTCAAGATACATTCTGATTTATTTAATCAAGAGCTATGCTGTGTGAATGATGGTATGTAAATAATGTAAGCATTGTTTTTATGTTTAATAGGCTTTGTAGCATAGTGCTTCTGTACAGTTCTTCAGAGAGGTATTATGTGTGTGTTAGAAGGAAAGAAAGGTTTCTATACAAAACTGCTCACAGTAGCACACAGAATTTTGACCATCTGCCAATATAAACCCAATATGGTTTTAATCTCTGTAAATGCAAGGATTAATCCTATGGCTTATAGTTAGTTTTGAGAGATGCATGCATTTTGAGGAAGTGAAAATTGGTATGTTTTATGTATTCCTCAATTGGTGGTGTGTTAAAAGCATTCAAACAAACTTTTATATTTATTCTAGTGACTGAATTTGTGCTATTATTTATGGTTGAATATTTCATTTTCTGCATATTAGAAATGTTACCATTTGTTTTTAATACCACCTAAAATCTAATGATGCTGAACCATTATTTAATTGGAAACTTAGTGCAAAGCTCTGATTTTGTAAATAACCAAAATTTTTGAAAAGATAATTATTAAATAGTTCTGCCCGTAACAATGTCCTTCCTAATCTCAAGTGTTCCAGGAACAAGTATGTGTGTTGGTCATTATAATTTATAATATGAATATAATGTGTACAGTTTTTTACAAGTTATATTACAGTATACATTACTACAGTATATAAATAAAACTGACTTCTACCATTTTGTGCTTTAAAAACCTTGTAAAGTGTAACTGTGGTGATACAAATTTCTGAAATATAAAATACAGTAATCGTGTCTGCCTTCTCTAACTTCAAAAGAAAGTGATGGAAGTGTCTTAATAATTTAACCCACAAGAAAAAAAAAGAATGTATGCATAGTACTGATATTATATGCTTCTCCTTTATCATCCTGAAATCGAAGAAACATGACTGTTTGAAGTGCTACTGTTTAAAGCTCAAAGTTCTGGTAAAAAGGTTCGTCTGTTTTTAAACCATGCCAATCTTAGTAGATTACACACTGAATTTGGTGGAATCCTCTAGCTGAGATAAGAACTGTTGGGTGTGTATAATTTATAACTGGACTCTCATTACACTGTGTCACCCTCCCTCCCATCCACACAATGCATCTGCAATCACTGCCCTGCTGTTTCTTGATGCAACCCAAAGGCCAGGTCCAAAAACATTGCAGTTCTACTCATGGTTACCATTCAGCAGCTTACGATTTAATTTTGTCTGTTACGTAGCATTTAGTAAACTGACAGGTTGAATGACTAGAGTTCAATGGAGGGGCAGGGATTTCTTCTGTGTCAGCATGTTCAGACAAGGTCCTGTCCATTTAGTACCAATGGCTCCTTCCCCTGGAGTAAAGTGGCCAGCTAAGCACTTGTGTCCATGTAGGTTAAGTGCAGCAGTGTACCTTCACTCTCCATGGTATAGTGCTTAAGCACAAGGACATCTCTCCCTTTTGATAATAGCAGTAAAATTATGAAGATTACTGTATTTTGGTCTGTGACACCGCATAAATGGTATCAGCATTTTGGAGGAATATGCTGGTCCTCTTCTACATTCCTCCAAAAAATTGGTACGTAGCTATTAAACTACGTGGTGTCATGTCCCAGAAGACAGCAGTCATTCTAGTCACTGTCATGAGAATCCCATAACTCAGCAGTAAAATTATGTCTACCTTTTCTTGACTCAACATCAGACTTCCAATCCTTGCACTCATGAGAAAATTACCTGGATGAAGACTTTTAAAAACTCCAGAAGGACAGGAGTAAAAGTTATGCCAAGTTCCCTTATCCTTTACAATACTTGTGGGTTGTAATCAGTATGCGTATTTTTGTCAGCTACTTACTGTATTCTATATTATGGGCTGAGAAGGAAGTAGCACAGTGAACTGTCAGTTATCCATGGTAATGGAGAAGTGGTAAGATAATCAAAAACTACAGATAATTCAGATAACATATTTACAAAAATATGTCATTTTTTAATATTTCAGCATCTGAAAACAAGGATCACACTACAGTCATTTTCTTCATACTTGATCATCTGCAGAACAATTCTGCTTTTACTCTGAATGCTAAGAAAATACTGCACTAGAATAATTTTCTTATATTACCAGTAGTACTCTTTGGTTAATGTTTTTAAATTGGCAATATAAATATTTTGTAGCATTCCTTTTCTCAGTTCCTAATCAAGGAAGTGTGTTTATAAGTAGTATGTAGCAGATCTGCGGGTGAACTGTAAGCCAATGGTGTAAGCAGTCTGAAGGATGAAGCTTTAATGCATGTACATTTTATGTCTGCATTTATTTGCAGGGAAGCAAAAAGCAGAATATCATGTTCTAAGTTATGGGTGTTCATATTGAAAAGAGAGGTTCTGCAGTGTCAGAGATTTCAAAATGTGTGCAGTTACAAGTGCACACTTCAAGCTAATGGTGTGGAGAATGTGGAAGAAACCATCAGCTGCACTGCAACATGAGAATTTGGCATTTTCTAACTAAACACCATATGAGGGAACTGAAAAACAAACTCCACCAATTGCACATGACAAACCTTTTTGAGGGCTCAAACACAGATAGTACAAAAATGTATAGCCTTCACAAAATGGAAAGCCTGCCCAATTGTGATACTGATAATGGTATTTTTCCCCCTAGAAATTTAAAATTTTAAGAGTGGATTGTCTTATATTCAGGTAAATACAGTATCTATCTTCTGAACTCTGCATGAAGTTAAAGAACTGAAACAAATATCCTTCCAACATATGAGAGCATCCCCTATGCAGAGGCAATAGGCCACCAAGAAGAGCAAGAAAATAATAAAAGATAATGTTGCAGCACAGTTAGAAAATGTACATCTATCAGAAACTGTTGTCAGGCATCACTAATACATATTACTGACAGGCGTAATGGGAAACAAACTGTTATGGGAACCTATAATCAAAAACTAAGGGCTTCTAAAAGTTGTGTGGTTAATCTGCAAAGGAGATAATTGAGAGTCCACTGTAATATAAGTAAATAGTTCATTGATATTCTTTATTGTGTGTTAAGTCTAAAGTTTATCTCTGACTTCATATTGTAATTTTCTACATCAGTGTTTTGAACCTTCTTAAGGTTGTTACTGTAGTCTAAATCGTTTGTTTCAAACCAGAAATTTTTAATTCTGATATCTTCACAAAAATAGTAATATATTTCCTTCAAATTCATGGAAGCCTTCATGGAAACACTTTGAAGATATGACTTCTGCTCTCTACTTATAACAGGCTTCCTGACATCATAACTGCCATAAGGGACCACATATAATTCAAAATTCATACATGCTGCCTTATAATTTAGGGACTGGACAACTCAATATTGTCTTCTTGCCCAATTTCAAAATGTTAAGAGGCTGTATATTTCAGCTGGCACAGTATACCTCCAGATTAACCCTTTACAGACTGAATTTCTTCTAAGTAATATATAAAAATTTGGTTCATACCTCACAGGAAACAGTACGTCTCCACTACAAAGACCAACCGGTTATTGCTGTTTATTGTGAGAACCATATGAAACACATGGACAATGTGTGGGCAGAATGTAGAGTTTAAGTATGTTAAAGCAGGTGGTACATCAGTAACCACTGGGCTTTCAAGGGTTAAAGCCTATGGTAAATGATACACTGGCCACTCATGTGACATTTTTCCATGGGAATTTCTGGCAAAATTCTACATACTTTTTTTATCCTTATCCATGAAATATTTAACAACTTCCTTGATTCCATGGGCCCTAAATATATTCAAAGACTACAAACCATGAAGTGCCTTCCTCCTAGTCCATCTCTTCTGGATCATTATCATCTTGAAATACCTGGAGTCTCTTTTCTTTCTAAGTTGACAGATCATACTTCACACCCACATAAAACAATGGGCATAATTATAGTTCTGTATATTTTAGTCAAGACAAAAAATTAAGTTTTCATTTTTAACCTTACTGCTCTGAAGGATGTGATTTTAAACACCATGATATCACAGAGCTGGTTTTAGCTAGGGGTCACTGTATTAATACTGGAATTGAAAAAATGCTATCCTTGGTCAGCTGGATTGTGCAACTGCTAAATTACTATAGTAGAGCACACAGCCAGTAGAAGTTAAAAGGAACAAAGCTCATTATATTTTTGGCTCAAAATACACAACTGTTTACTTTCATATGTACATATATTACTTTTCAAGGCACAGTATTACCTCAACTGGTAGCTGAATGCATTTATGTTATTACCAGAAACCTGTTTATGTAAAGTTGCTGTGTGCATTGCTGTCAAGGACTGTTGCAAAAGCTGAATAACAGCCATGAACTTTTATTATTATTTGTCTCCAACATTATTATTTCATGCTACTTGATATTTAACTGTGTCAGTCAGGAACAAAAAATTAAAAAAGGCTAGCTTGAAAGAGAATTATGCAATAGGCTGAAAGCTGCTAGATTGTTTTCTGAAGTACTTTTATATTAATCGTTGTTGTTCCAGCTCCAGATTGTATACAGGATGCAGTGCTTGATGTTACTTTTACATGAGCTTATTTGTGATAGTCAGTTTCTATGCTGGAAGCAATATCTATAAGCAATACATTTCAGGATCTCAACCTGTCTCAGAAATATTTTCTTTACAGTTTTAACACAATTTGCAGAATTTGAGATGCCTTATATTACAAAACTGCACAACAGACAAACTTGCAACCTTTTCAAGAATGAGCATCTGAGGAGGAAGCTCTTGTTGAATGTGTAATATTCACCTTGTAATTTATCTGTGCCAAAACAATCACAGCTAATTCTACTTAGCACATAGGTTAGGACAAGGTGACTGATATCTTCCCAGTTTCTTCTGCACAGATTCTGAAACCAGTAGTAAGAAACATGAGATTAAAGAGTACTGAAAAGAATAAAAATTACTAGCCTGTTTTAAGTCTGGACCTAATCTAGGTACCCCTCCCCCCAAATTTTAGATAAGCTGGGTATTAATATTTGCAGTATGCACATTTAAATAAAATACTGATACAGTATTGTGAAAAGCAAGTGCCACAGTATAAGATTTGTAATATCTATGTACCATAATAGTATCACACAAGAATTTGCTGTGTGTGTGTGTGTGTGTGTGTGTGAGTATACGAAGGGGGACCCAAAAATAACCGGAAACGACCTATTGCGCGCGCATACTTTGTAGTTACGAGTTGTGCTGCTAGGTGGTGTTAGCTGGGGGTCTCCCGCGACTGTTAGTGAGCTGGCATCAGTCTGAGTTAAGTGGTTTGTCTGTGGTGCTCTGTTGTGTGCGTTTCTGTTTCAACCCTTTGGCGATTAGTGAGATGGCTGACCAGAAGGAACAGTTCTTTTAAGAAATTCTGGATCGTTCTGCACTTCACTCTTCAAGTCGCGGCAAACATTCACGCGGTTTTCTCTTTGGTCATCTCCGAGCAAGCGAGGAACAAATTTTGCAAGTCCAAACCTTCGGTTAAAATTCGCTGGACCGTGCTCCATGAGATGTTCATTTCCTCAGAAAGTTGGTCAATGGTCTTTCGACGATCTTCATCAATTGCACGTTTGATTTTGGCAATGTTTTCGTCATTTCTTCCTGTCGAAGGACGCCCGGGGCGTGGCATGTCTTCTGTTGACATGTTGCCAGATTTGAAACGGGAAAACCACTCGCAGACCTGTGATTTCCCCAAAGCATCATCATTAAAGGCTGGCCGAAGCATCCCAACAGTCTGCGCTGCAGTTTTCCCTAACAGAAAGCAAAATTTCATGCACACTCTGTCACTAATCGCCAAAGGGTTGAAACAGGAACGCACACAACAGAGCACAACAGATAAACCACTTAACTCAGACTGACGCCAGCTCACTAACAGTCGCGGGAGACCCCCAGCTAACACCACCTAGCAGCACAACTCGTAACTACAAAGCATGCGCGCGCAACAGGTCGTTTCCGGTTATTTTTGGGTCCCCCCTCGTATGTATGTGTACATGTATATCCCAAAAGGAGCAGCACATAGAGAGGTTCATTCCTTCACTTATGGTAAACATTATCACCACCAGTATTATTTTACAACATGTTTGAGATCTTTATAGCCATCATCAGGTAAAATATTTACACACTCTAATTTGCTATTTTTCCCCTACACTGGCCAGAGTTTATGCCAATGTATATAGCTATATGCAAAACATTAAAATATTAAAGCATTAAATTATTAAAAGGTTTCATCTGTTGTTAGTAAATAATGTAATACAAATAGCCAGAGAATGTAGACATTTGAACAATAAAAGGTAAGGTAAAGTTGTCCCTGTGCTTAACTAATTAAGCACTATGCCATGAAGGCATAGGGAGTGGATGTATAGATCCACATTTTCTTGACCTCAGCACTAGTTGGATGCGAGTGGTCAGCTTCACACCCCTGGGAAAACAGCCCCCCAGAGCCGGTCTGGATGACATGGATAAAAGAAAATTCTTGACCCTGCCAGGACTCAAACTCTGACCCCTGTAGCCATTCGCTATACCAACTATTCTGTCCTGGCTCCTAGACATATGAACAAACAACAAACTCTGTGGTTTTAGTCCACAAGCGACTGCCACTTGTCGGCAAAGTCGGTATAGAGAAATGTCACATTTTCTTTAGATGTAAGGAAAACAAGTGGATGAATGAAGTACTCTTTGATTTAAAAAACCCTAATGTAGTGCATACAACCTTTGCTATAAAATGACCACAAGATGGGTGTATATACCAGGGCTGCTTCTGGGCAACAGCTCGGTAAATGTGTTCCTGTTGCTAGGCAGTAGATTCTTAATAATGCATCAATTTACTAAAACAATGGAAATGGGGTGTTTCTACATGGTCCGTGCCAATGAGTTATCTTGAAGACAAGTGGGGCGACCCACCGGAGTTCTGTACAGGAGTCTGTGAAGAGAGGACTTGAACCAGCAGCAGAGGAATAGCCAGTGTTGGAGCCATTACCAGGAAACATCTAGTAACAGACTGAGAACACTATACTGTGTGTTCTAGTGAAGTGTAACGTGTGGAGATAGTGATAGTGTTATAGTTATTTGTATTTGCGAACTGTAACTGGTCAATAAATCTATTCACCAATCCAAACCCCATCTACAGTCACACCTACTATGTGACACTATGTATATTTGATTCTGTATACAACTCTTACATCAACCAATGACATACAAATCACATTACGTACCACATCCCAAACAGCAGCATGACATATCTCCACATCAAACACACACAAACCCAAATATCCACAGTATCAGTTTCTACTGAGCTACTCATCCTGACACAGCACTTCCCACAGACAGGTAAGGAAAAACACCCAAGTAGCAACAAAAGCAGCTAACCACAATACATACATATTAATACATATAATGAACAATTCATTCTAAAGGCCAACACAAGGGATGAACACACATATATGTTTTCGTCCCTTGTGTGTATCCCCCTCACACAACCTTGATGAATAACCACTAATAACAGAGCAGTGGAAGAGAAGACCACTTGTGCTGTGATCAAACAACACTACATTAATATTTTAACATAAAATTTTATATGCTGGCATTGAAGAGAAGACATTCTGCAGTGATTCTAAAATAAACATTTAATAACACCACAAGTGAAACATTTTAATAATTTATTTCTTTAATCTTCTAATGTTTTGAATATAGTTTTATACGTTGACATTAACAGTGAAAAATAACATGTATAACCTTCCTCAATTGTAAATAGCAGCGAAGTAGAGACTGAATGTAAATATTTTACCTGATGATGGTCATAAAGAACTGAAACATGTTGTAAAATAATAATGTCATGTGCATGAGTACCTCTTGATGGGGTTTTGGATTGGATATTCAGTTTGTTGACCACTTATGGATTGTAACTATTGAGTGAGACTAGAGTCTCACTGAGTTACACACTCCAACATATGCAACTACAACATACATAGTCTTCTCAGCCTTCACTAGTCATTTCCTGGTAACGGTCTTAACTGCGTACTTGCATCCTTACCGTCTGGCGCATATCCCTTTGGTGTCTTGGTGTCAAGCCCCTTGAGACCCACAACCAGAAATTTTTTCTCCCCAGCTGAACCCTTACAGAAAAAAGGTCCTTATGTAACATCCTCTCTGACAAGAAGATTCGTTTGTCTTTCATGAATATGCTTGGCCTTTCGTCAAATGTATGTATCACCATATAGCATGTTACTGAAAATTCTCCCTTTTGCACTATATACAAGTCCTATATTAGTACAGGCTTTGCAAAGTAGATCATGCCTATCTCACATATCTTATACTACAATTGAGTCAACTGAACGGACCTTAGCTTGTCCACCGATAAGAACTGAGTCTTCACTTTATCCTGCTTATAACTCGTCAGTAAGGACCACTGTAGAAAACACCATTTTCCAACAGTTCCTCTGTTGTTGCATGTTGAGTTGTTGCTGTGGAGACATGTTTGTTTGCGACTGTTACCCAGCAATGAGTCTACGCACTGCAATATAGTAGCATGTGTTTGAGGGACTATAGACAGGTTTTGGATTGATAGCTGGATTTACTGGACACTTCTACAGTTCATGCCTACACTTGACAGATCACTAGCCATTGGAAGTAATGGATACAATTCAAAACAAGTGGACGACACCCCTTGTGAGGTGTAATAAGAATTTTACAAAATTTAAAGGAGATTTTACTTGATTTAAATTAAGTGACCTACAGTGTGCATTTTAACACATACCAATTGACTATGAGTATGACTTTTAAATCATGAAGCGTGCAATCACATATGTGATGAGTGGACAATATTTGTGCAGTGTAGCTGTTTTAGCATAGTAAGAAACCTGAAGATGGCCATTTTTGGCCGAAACATGTTGCGTCGAAAGCGAAAGTGTAAGAAAGAAGGAACAATTTGTTGCCTTGTTGACGGACTATGTAGTACAATAAACTTGCACTTGTCGTTAAGAATTCTTCCTTGTAATGTAATTTCCAACATTAAGCATGCTTTTATCACACCTGTATCTCAATATGGTTCAACACAAACATAGTGAATGCCCACAACTGACTGATCTCAAGAAGAAGCATGAAGTGATTTTCCAAAGTGAACCGCATACTTATCAGGATGGCTGTTTCTGCAGACTTATTGATATGTGTGGGTCCCTGCACATTACTGCTGACCAGCTACACGACTGTTGGCTGAATGCCTCTGTATTTAATAAAGTTGGGGTACAGACATACTAGCTGAGGTTATTACAATACAGTTCTATCAACATTTAATTTTTTTAAGAAATGACAACATAATCCACAATAAAAAAAAATGTTATCTTGGTTCTGGCAAGTGCTCCACCCTTTCTTAGCTTCCCTGAACCACAGGTAACACACATGTGCGATAATCTAAGAGTTGACTACCATATCATTCTTCAAGTGACTGGATTTCATTATATTGGCAGGTATTTTAATTATTTTTATATTCAAGATAGTATGGACCCTCTGAGTATGAAGCTTATATAACACTAGACCAATATCAGGTGCCTGACAAAGTGAATAGCTAGAACTGTCATGCACAAAAAATGAACATATACGATAAACGACAGAGGGATAAAAAAACTTTTTTGTTCATGATGGGACACCATGCTCTACTGCAGTTACTCCCAGGAGTTTCCCATCCTGATGCATTGGGCCTGCCAAGTATGCACCCTACATACTAATAGTAAGTGTTCTTACTGCTGGCCATGAAGAGGCATATTTTTATTTTCCTTTTCATTCTGCAGATAACATGGACTTTTGTCAGTTCAAACATATTAAAGATTGTATGCCAGTAGAAATTTCAGAATAGTGTTATAATGAAGAGGAATGTTATACTTGACAAATGTGGCCTGTGGTTTAATAAGAGTTTTTGAGTTTGGTGGGGCTTGGTATAACCTCATAAAGGGATTATGCAGTATATAGGGATGAGCAGCCGAACACATTACTTCATATGAAAGAAGACTGCTTGCCCAGAATACTGTTTCAGGGCCAATTCTATAGAAAATCAGTGTGAGGGAAGACTATAAAATATTGAATTACAATACACGATCAAAACTGGGAATATGTAAATTAACTGATTACAGCATGTGGAAGGAATGGAATATTACAAGTTATCAAAATACATTTTTGACTTTAAAAAACAATATGGAGAAGAGGCATCGGAAGACCTAGGAGGAGGTGGAAAGACGGTTGAGCTAGAACAGGCCTGAGGGCACTAAAGATGAATAAAAGGAACCAGGAGACACAATGAGAGACATATGAAAGTACAAACAAAAATGGCAACTGTACCATGGTTTTGTGAATAATATATATCTAAAGCAAATGTATATCACAAGTAACCTGATGTTAGTGTTAAAATACCAACCCTCCAACCTGAAGGGGTGACGGATTTTAGCCCATTCATCTGAACCATCACAGCAGTCACAAACTCCATCATTGACCTGACTTGATGGAACAAATTCTGAAATAGTACATAAACTTGTAAATAAATTACAAAGCACCTGTCACAATTTGTACATTTATGTGGGTTATGCCTAGGGTACCTGAAAATCCATTCTTTTGTCTATCACAATAAAATCTTCCATTTATACAAGCGCTTGTTCCTGGTTCGTCACTACCATCAAAAAAGCAATCACAGTAGTCGTCATTTACTCTGGAAAAGTCAATTTCTTCCCTGGTATGGAAGCAAATAAAATTTCCCTGTTCATTCGGTATATATCTCTCAATATCACTTGGGCGTATTCCCTTCAAATGAATGTTTCTTTCTTTCTGCACTTTACCATAACCACTATAATCCATTGATTCATCACCTAGGAACTCTAAGGATTTCATTTGACAAATCAGTAGGAAAGTACCAATTAAAATTACAATTAGGACAGTCACTTTCAGTTTCGTTCTATACAGGTATCTTATTTTATACTTTTTACATATCTGCATATTTGTGTTCGTTTTGTTGGACGTTTTAACTTCTCACACCTACATCATCCTAACCAATCCTACAGTCTTATCGGTTTTATCTATCGTTCTCTATATTTCCTGTGTTCTCAGTTCATCCATATTCGATATTTCATCTCGAGAATTGCGAGATGGCGACACGTTCACCGTCTAGTGCGGTCAACTGTTTCTGTAAATAAAGGAAGGTAGGTACCGCTACTTTGATGATCCCTGCACTGAAACCCGCCGTAATCGTTCATTGATGTTTTGCGTGATTGTGTAGTCCGGTGTATTCTCCTTTGGTTTGAGCGACAGACGTGGGTACGTTTAATTCGTCATGTTTTAAACGGTTGAAGCGCTTATTGTATTATTACTCAGTGCTGATGAACTGGTATTGGTAGTGTGTTTCGTGTTAATATAGAAGTTGCAGGCTGTGTGAAAGTAACATAAATTAATGTATACGTGTGTTATATTAGAAGTAAATGCTATGCATCTATTACAGTGGGTGTTTTGTTAGCTATACATTCTTCAATCTCGAAAATGGAACACTGTAAGAAGGTAAGAAATCTAGCAGTTATGCTGTAATGTTAGTAACAGATGCTAAGCTGAAGTGTCAACGGTGCTATTATTCGCTCTCTGTTTCCTCTAGTTTGTACCTTCCCTTTCCATAGTTTACGTTTCCGAAAATTAGACGGTTAGAAGTGTGAATAATGCGTATATCAGTACATCAGATATGAGAACGAATCAAATAAGTACTGATCCTTTAATGGCGAAGGACACAGCCACATTCCTAAATTGTATATGTTCATATGGAAATCGAAGTCTTGATGTAGTGAGTAACGGGACTGCTGTATCCTTCTGCCCCAGGCCAGAGGCTTATTTATTAGGATGTGTAATGAATAATCCTTGGAATATGACCCCAGAAGTTCTCTCTTGAAGTGTTATTTATGCCATTCATATTGTGAATTTTCACGTGAATGGAAGCATTGCACACGGTGCACATGATTGTATTCAGGCATTTAATGAAAATTTTCGTGACAGAGAAGGGGATATGCCTGTGTAAAAGAAAATTTGTTTACACCTAACTTACATTTTGCCGTCCATGAAGAACATACATGCTGGTCATAGAGGATTTCAAGTACAAAGTATACGTTTCTTATCAGTGACAGTCATGTTGCTAGTGTGTGAACATGTCAAGAGTTTGGAAACATTCAGACTGGTTGAGTGGCACATTTGAAGTTCCAGCAGTATTTATTATGAGGACAGTAATCTTCCAGCTGAATGTAAGATTGGCATGATCTGGAAGAACTGAAACAAGGATGATTATAATATGAATTAAAATAATAAATAAATGATTCTGCTGTCAGCTTTAAATAACGTTGAATATTCCAAATTGTTGTGAAGGATAGACACATGTTTCAATCTTGATGCTATTGCTACTGCTTCTACTACCATTGTCACCAGCACCACCTTCGCCCTGGTACTCCTGCTTTCAATACTGCTGCATTGCCACCTCCACATGTTACCACTAGGATTAATGTGAAATGAGTGAGGTGTAATATGAAATGAGATTTGAGGTTGACAAGACAGTTCTTATTTACAGAATAGGTAAATTTCCACTGAAAGTAACATTCATTCATTCATTCATTCATTTATTCAGAATTCCATAAATCCTTACATGGTTAAACACCAATGGATATAGAAATAGTCAACATGAGTAAACATGATCACATACTGCATCAAAAATGTGTGATGTCATAACAGTTAGTTATTTAAAAGTATTAACAATACACAACATGAACAAAACCGTCATTTATAACAATAAAGCGCTATCAGCTACCACGCGTAACAAAATCCGAAACTTTAATTGTTGTCACAGTTGTAATATTCATCCAGGAACAAATTTAAAAATAGGAATCTTTTAATAGAAGACCTATTTTTTGCAATCTCATGAGCTTGGTCTTTTATATTAGGTGAAAGTTTATTAAAAATTTTAATTCCAAAATAATATGTTCCCTTTTGAAAGACAGTTAAGTTACTCGAAGGATAATGGAGGTTATTACTATGTCTTGTGTTGACTGTATGAATCTCAGAATTAGATAAAAATATATCTTTGTTTTTGACCACAAATAACAAAATGGAAAAATTGTACTGTGAGTAAAGGGGCAGAATCTTTAGTCTCTTAAACAACTCCCTACAAGAACTAGCACTAGCATTTGATTGTTATTTTAATACAGTATTAATACCTTATTCTTAAATTCGTGTCATGCCTACTTCTAGAAGTTTTTAAACTTCAGAAGGTTAGAGAAAAAATTATGTTCCTACTCAGGATTCTTTCAGTGCTTCAGTTTAAGTACCAGTTGAGTGGTTATCACATCTGCATTGTATTCTGGAGATCCATGGTTCAAATCTAACCCCAGAGGCCAGCAATCCTGACAGGATTTTCATATTTTCCTCAGTTCTTCCAGGCATGTGCCAAGATAGTACCTTAATTTAGGCCACAACTGCTTCCCTATCACCCTTTTCAATTCATTATTCACTAATCATCTTGCTGTGCTATGTAATCTTGGATAACAAAAGTGCAGTTAAAAGAACCAAGTGTTGTATGAGTTTTGAAGTACAGTAGCAGTGGTGTATATTCAAGGTTTGGGCCAGAAGAGGGTAAACATCTTTAAAAATAAAGGTATTGAGCAACTGGGATGTGGCTTAATGTGGTAAGATCTGATTTACAGATATTTTAGAGTTTGAAAGTTAGCACTTGGGAGGTATTCAGATATCTTTAGGAAACTCAGAAATGTTTCATATAAAATGTGGATATTGTTGTATTTAATTAATGTTATCCTAAGTTATGTATGTATAGCTCAAGAATTACCATCATGAAACTGCGTTTACCCTCGCCTCAGACTAATTTTCTAGTGAATATGAAAATTCTGATCATAGATCATTGTAGACATGCATGCTGGTATGTATGTTGATCTATCAAATACATCATTGTAAAGCGTTCCAGCAAAGTACTATATTTTTCTTGTTCTGGCATATTATTTTCATAGGCTAAGAGTGACTAGTATTGTTGGGTGTCTAAAATGTTGTTCAGGGTGAGTCGTCAACAGATAATGGTGTAGGTCATCATGTCACTATTATAAGATTACTAGATTGTATTTTATTTATTTATTTATTTATTTAATTTCATCTCTGTAGACCATTGTTACATGGTATAGGACAAGTCAGTTACTGTACATTGGCGGATTACAATAAGAGAGTAAAGTTACAATACTTACAATTGTTTACAATAGATTACAGTAGATTACGGTAGTTAAGAGTTCATATAGTGTGAGCTGGAATCCATATTAGGTCCCCTCGGCACGTCGGCCTCAATGTATCTTATTGTATCTGTACCGGTGATTATGCTTATGGAGAATGTGATGGAATGAGGATTGGCAGGGGAAACCGAAGTACTCGGAGAAAGCCTGTCCCAGCGCCACTTTGTCCATCACAAATCCTACTTGACTAGACCACAGCAGTGGGAAGCCAGCGACTAACCGCTTAAGCTATGGCGTGGCCTTAGCATACAATAGAAGCAAATTCACCATACCAGAGTTCTCATTGAACAAACAGGACTTTCTTCAATAAGGCTGCATCCTCAGGTGTAACATACCCTCAAAGATGCTTTGGATGAAGTTTGGCTACATTTTTTTTAGAATCAGTTTATAAAAATATAAAATTTACAGTTTAATGACACAGGGTATGTTTTCATGTGGTTGCTATATAGATCCTACAGCAACATTGCTGGTAGTTGTGTTAACCTGAGGTGGCAGGAGATTCATATATAGCCAGTACATGCGTAAGCAGCACTAACACAAAATATGTGGTAATATGTGCTGAGTTTTTAACATTTTTGAAGTCATTATAATGTTGCAGTTTGTCTGTAATCACACTTTTGGGTCATATTGTTATGCACTGTAACACAAAGTACATTTGGTGCTGTAGTATCTTTAAGGATTCATGTAGAGTTTTAAGCTCTTGAATCACAACTGTAACAAGGCATCCTCATGCCTGTATGAACATAAAAATGCTGTGGATACCTTGACTTTGATGAAATTAAGAATTTCAAGCCCTTATGCATCAAAGAAGATCCAGTACCATTGTACAGGGGTTTTCTGGAGCAGTTCAGAAATTTCAAATTTTGGAAGTTTAAGGTCTAACACCGTGATCACTGGATCCCTTTATGAGCCACTTAGTCAGTCTGCAGCCTCACAACCATTTTCTTGAAATACATTTTATCAGACAGCTTGGTCTAGAAGTAACACTATAAACTGGTGTTTAGGAGGTGCTTAGTTCGAATGTCAGTCAGGACACCTGCTATCCTGAATGAGTTCTTTCTTGATTTTCCACATTTTCCTAAGTTAATTCCCGGTAGTTCTTTGATTGGGTTACAAGTAGTTCATTCCAAATCCTTCCAAATTCATCATTCCTCAATCATCCTACCATCCAGTCTGATATAGTCTCAATACAGAAATAGTTTTTAAATAATGCCCAGAAAAAGGTTAAATTTTAATATTAACCTTGTTGTCTAGTTCTACCCAGTGTTCTCTTCCCTTAAAATTTTACTTAAAATTGTGTATACAGTTCTGGTTTTCCTCATTGTGTGTCAGAAAAGTTGATCTAGGTGTAATGCTGTAAACTTGTTGTCAGGAAGTACTTGCCTTGAATCTTGGGTGCGACACCAGCTATCCTGAGTGAAGGTTTTCATGGGCTTACTCAGCCCTCCAGGAAAATGTCAGGATAGTGCCTCGTTTTTTTCCAGATCCAATACATTATTCATGTATCATTCTACCATCCATCAATCTCGACATTGAAGGCTTTGTTAAATAAGCAGGAAAGTTTACTTCTATGAGTTCTTTACACATTTGTCTATGTAAGTAGCACGTACAGAATTCATTTCAGGGTAATCTTGGAAAATCAGCCCAATTTTATTTCACAAAATCTCTGATATTGTGATCAATGTTGTTTCATTGTGAAACTTTCATATACAAGATTTTGGTGAAGATAGTATTACATTTTCAGATTTGAGGTTCTCACAGCTGTGACTGTGAAGATTGATGTCCTTTTTGGATGTAACGCCACGTAGTCTTGTAGATGTTTACGGATTTCATTCCAAACATCTGCAAACATCTACCAGGCAGTACGGTGTCGTGTTGTAGCCTACAGCGATATTCGTCATTGCTTTGTATTCTAGATATTTTAGGGGAGCATGTTTGAACTTGTAACTGTCCTCAAAATTGATCGTTCATGCATGCGTGTGAACAAGTCATATAGTTACACATTTTTATAATGTATCAGTCATTTCTTCCCTTACTTGGTTGCGATTCTGCTCATAAAAAGAGGTCAAATATATGAATGTACTTGTATTTATGTCGTGTTTGTTTACTTGATTTAACGGCGCCTTTTGAACTGTGTATAAAGGTAAAATTACCCCTGTGCTCCTTGATTAAGCATTACATCATGAAGACATATGAGAGAATAGGGGTATAGGTCACGAATTTTTAACCTCGACAGTA